TCTAGTTCCCTTTTTGGAGCTAGAGAATTTTGAAGAAGCAGGTTGAAAAGCAGCTGGTCAACATGCCAGAAGCTACTTGCTAATTACAGCAGTGAGTTAATCAATGAAACAACAGTTTAGCTTCTGGGTGTAATAAAATAAGATAAAAGACCACTCAAATTTCCTACCATTTAGGTATAGTCAGGATTCTATTGGCATAGATAATTTCCCTATTAAACCTGTTTCCTTTCAAGGCATCAGTTCATACAGCTGCCTGACAGCTGTTCACACCCAAAACAACAAGGACTGACTCTCTCTCTCTCTCTCTCTCTCTCACACACACACACACACACACACACACACACACACACACACACACACACACACACACACACACACACACACACAATTTTTTTCTCTCTCTCTGGGAATGGGGTGGTGCCCAAGTAGAGAATGTGGGGAGGTAGGGACAGTAAGAGCTGATGTAAATATTTACCAAGGCCATTCAAAGGAGTGTTTTGTTATGTACTTTTGTGTTTGCTTTCAAAACATTTAAATTCAGTGACAGATGGCTTGTACAGTTTTATCAGCACTTGTGTCTTTATATATTCAAGCAGCCAAGGCTGATAACTGAACTCCTGAATTACAGATTGCACTGGAAACAAATACTGGAAGGGGAAAAAAAATCAGCAAAGGAATTCAGTGTGAAAAAAACTGAATACAGGGATTTTAATTTTCTTTAAGAGAAAGGATGGAAATGACTAATTATGATATTAACAGGTATTCAGGAAACAATTACATAAAGCTTTGCTAAAAGCTAAGGGGATGAGTTAAAATTATAAACTATCATTAAAAAAAAATCTTAGTAGGGGCCATGAACCTAAGTAATAACCATAAAACAAACATTATACTTTCTCAGGTCCAATTTACTTGTTAAATATTTATTTCATTTTTATTTTATTTTATTGACATTTGGTGACAATTACATTTTTGGATATGGTTAAAAATATCTTTTGTAGACTGAATGCTTTAAAGAGTATGAAATAGTTATAGTCTCATTATTCTTTGTCATAGAAATGAAAGATATCAGGTATATATAGATATATTACTCTAGACTTAGTCTTGTTTCTTTCATATCATATTAAAGCTTATAAAGTTTTTTCTCACCAAAAAAATGACATGGAACCTGCAGAAGGAAACTTCCAAAATCTCTTAACATTATTCATTAGTAGTGTATTTAAAACCAATTTTTCTTTCTATAAGCCTCAAACCAACTGGATATGACAGATAGGTATGGAATTGAATGGCTCATCTGTAAAGGTTACCTACTTTTTCTTCTGTTTCATGTCCCAGGGGTAAAATAATCAAAACATCATCTAAAAAGTGCCACCTCACAGAGGACTGCCCCACTGCTAAGGTTTTTATCTAAAAGACTTACCTAAGAATCAGTAAAACTTTGATAAAAATCCATCTGCAGACTGAATTAACACCTTGAAAATTTCATTTAAGGGATTTAATCATGTGAAATGAATCATGGAGGAGTTGACATTATTTAAAGGACCTCATCTATTTTTCTCCCCCAAGAAAATAATTGTGTATACACACACATATGTAAATATATATACACATACATACACCCATATTCTAGTAGAACATGCACTTTCTGTCTTTAGTTAACTAGATAAACCTTCATTCATTGATATAAACTATATCACTTTACAACTGAAATCATTTTTGTTAATTAGGTGCTAACTTGCAAATGAGAAGTGAAAAGAGAATGAAGTATACTTCTCCAAAACTGTCTTATCTGTGAATGTACACATACTCTCTTTCCTGTGTGGCACACATACATTTAAAATTCCCAAAAGACTTTTCTTTCTTGATTTATTCAGCATTGTTTGTTGAATCAGGCTACCTCATAGTATCAAATTTTCTCTTACTCTTTTCCTATGAATAGGAAAAAAACCTAATTTTTATTTCAATTGTTGATTTCTCTGGGGAAAAAATCAGTTTTTATTTTTGGAAATATCAGAATAGATGAACTACTGACATTAATGAGCACAAAGGCTGTTTTATATCTTGGATTGATGGCAAACTAATTTCTCTCCATTGATGTCTAAACATTTAATCAACAAGTATTAATTAAGCACCTATGTCCTAGGCACTGGGGATACAAATACAAACAAATGGACCCAAAAAAAATCTCCTTTTAAGTAGCTTAAATTCACTTTGGGGAGACAGCATAAACATATAAGAGTGCAGCAAGGTGATGCATAAATGATGTAGCATAGGCATTATTTTCCCTCTTTTACTAAAATGAAGCTCAGCAGATAACTTTTTTAACTTGCTTATGGTTACACAGCTTGCTAAAAGTCAGGGCGTGGACTTAACCAGGACTCTTATGCACAAGTACAACCCAAGGATCAAGGTGAGATAAATTAAATGATCTCCTATAATTTCCAGGTTTTCCTTATCATGTATCTATTAGGTGCTTACTGATGTGCTCAGGGACATTCTAGTCATTGTGTAAGAATAAAAATGGAAATACAGGATGTAATGCCTTCCTTTACGGGCCTAGTTGGAGAAAGAAGACTAATACACAGGAAGCAATCACAAACCAGGTAATGATATAAGTACTCAATCATGTTCTATGATCTACACATACTGAAGAAGTTCAGAGGACGTGGGATCATCCATGGTTAAATTACTGAAAGGAAGGTTTCAGAAAAGGAGGACTTGGACTGCTTCTTCAAGTTTGGGTTAGATTTGGATCAGCAGGGAAAGGAGAAAGAGTCTCTCATTGAAGAAACTAACATGAAATAAGGCTTGGAGTTTGCATTGAACTTGGCACATTTTGAGGACAGTGAGGAGACATGAGATAAGCAGATTAGAAAATCATAAGATATAAGGTTGCTATAGCTACTCAATGTAGACAGCTGATAGAGGACCATGAATGGGCCCATTACAAATGATGAAGTGCTATGAAAGAAGCTTTTGAAAGTTTTTTAAGCAGAGGATGGCAAGCTAATGAAGGCAGGACTTTGAACAACTAGACTCAAGAACTATATACAAACATGAACTTTTGGTTTATTTTTGTTTGTATGGACTTTGCCTTTGTTCATTTCTTTTTTTCTTTTCTTTTTAAAGGCAGGTTAGCACACTGAAAGAAAGCCAAACAAATATAAGATTAGTCTGGCAGTGGGTGGCAGAATGGATTAGAGTGAGAGAACGGATTGGAATAAGGAAAACTGGCTAGGCAGCGTTCATGGAAAATCAGGCTGCTGATTGGTGAAGGCCTCGGCCAGAGTGGTGGCCATGGGAATGAAAGGGACAGAGCTGTGAAAGACATTGTGTGAATGGTTACTTTATAATTTGGGGTGGAAAATAATCTATATATATATTTAAATGAGCTTAAATAGCTTTCCCTAATATTTGTAGTTCCTATTCTATGCTCAAATAATACTGTTGTTACAAGCCACCCTCCCCTCCTCCTAAATTTGCCTGCATCTGATCTGTGAAAGGGATTCCCTAATTCAGATAGGAATGTTCAAAAATGAAAGCTATAATTAACCTGTAGAACTAACCACCTCAGAATATTATGAAGCCTAATGGCTATCTTTTTTTTTTAATCCCACAACCACCATCCATAATTATTGGGTACTTACAGATATGATAGTGCTAGCTAAAAATAACTTTGGAATTTAGTATATTCTAATTACTAAATTACATTTATTGCTGACATGATCCAAACTAGCAGAAATGTTTACTTTTTTTCCTACTGATTAATGTCTGCGTTTTAAAGTACTACATGCCTGTAGCATTCATGCCTATCCACTTAACCTCATTTGAAAAATCAATCGTAATTTCCAAGCTATCACTTATCACTTGACTGCTTAATCAAGGAAAAACTAAATAACTATGACTGTTATTTAAACTGGATTTGATTTTTTTTCTTTTAAAAATGTTTTACATTCTTACCTTAGCATTGAAATCCTTGTTCAAATTTGTTTCACATAGCCTCATGATGATAAAGAGGTGGTTCATTAATATTGTCGTGAATACCGTACCATATATGATTAAATCAGCATTTTGGCTTCAGTTTTATACCTTTGGAAATCTTAAAAATATGTTAGGATAGGGGAGGAGGCAAATGTTGGCAGCATAGATGATTTCTATGCTGAATTTGATTTCAGAGTGCTTGCAGCTGGCCGGCTTGTGCTCTTACTAGTGTGTTGCAGTTAAAAAACAGTCCCCTAATACGTGTTGGATTTTGAAAATCTCTAAACACATTTTCTCTGTAGCTACATGAAAGAAGCAATACATTAATGCTGATGTGGCAAAGAGCCAAGTTTTCTATTTTATATGTGTAGTCATTGGTGCAGCCTCTTTTTAATTGTCCTGGGTATCAAGTAATTGTTTTGCATGTTATTTCTTGGAGTTGTAGATTTTATCCTCCATAGTATTTAAATCTTAAATATAATATTGTACTGTTTCCCATGGTTTCATATAGCTACTTTCTTCTACCTATGGAATCTGAGAAACCATTACTGCTGTTCTATATATTATGGGAGAGTTTATATAGAAACAGGTGTATAAATACATGTGTCTGTGTGTGTATTTTTGACTTAAAATATAGTTTTAAACAAAAAGATATAAATTTAACTCTGTACTTGAGAAACTGATTTTTCAAGTCATTTTACTATACTTTAACTCACTCTTATTTTGTAAAAATGGGACAAGAGGCAAAATTGGGATTGGAAGGGACGTCAGTGGGCATTTATTCTATCACATGCCTAAAAAAGAATCTGTTCTGGGTCATCCTCATTCAAGTGGTCCTCCAGTTTTTGCTTGAAGCTTTCTAATGAAGGAGGATGGATTGAACAAAAGCCATTTTCTTGAATTAATTAGATTAATGCTCTTCTCTTAAGCAAACAAAATTGGCAGTATATGAAAGTAATAGTTTCATAAAAAATCCTAACCTGTTTTTTTTTCTTTATTCTTTTTTGTCTTGTCTTGTACAGATGGGCCTTTGGGTCCCCGAGGATTAGCTGAAGCTACAGAGATGTGCACCCAAGAATGTTTGGTGTTGGGTCACTCCGATAACTGCTGGATGCCTCCTGGCCTGGGTCCCTATCAACAGCCCAAATCTCCTCTCTCCACCTTTGCTCCTCAAAAGGAATGGGTGAAGAAGGACAAACTGGTGAATGGGCACACATTGACCAGGACCTGGAAAGAAGATAGCAACAGGAACCAGTTCAATGACCGGAAGCAGTATGGTCCCAACGAAGGCCATTTCAACAGTGGCAGCCACATGAGTGACATACCATTGGCTAATTTGAAGTCTTATAAACAAGCATCGGGAGCTGTTGAGAGTCCCAAGGAGCACCAACTATAAGAAATGGCTGCTTGGGACTGAATGACGTTAGCCTATGTAGACTTGCTAATACTGTGTGTGTGTCAAGAGCTTTACGTATTGGGTAGATCTCTAGAACTATGCTTCTTATAACAGGGATATGCACATCTTTGCATTAGCACTATGAAAAGTATGATGTCATGCAACTCAAGGGAGAAAATACTTCTACTCCTGTGGTTTTGTTTACCAGAATTGAGTAAACTCCACAGATATCTCTCTATAGTGCAAATATCCCTTTGCGAGTTTTGTTTTTTGACTCTGGACTGCTGCTATGAACAACAGAAGATACACTTGGAAAGTGAGAAAGGTCAAAGGATTGCAATGATTGACAGGCACATCCAGTTAGAAAATTGTGCTCTTGTCATTGATTTGTGCTGGGACCACCATACTTGATGTCATACTTCAAACAACTTAAATGATAAACTTAAACCTATTGTGCTATTAACAATGTTAGTGGACACTTGTCAGTCAATCAGTGTTCAAGTATTTGTAAATAGAAGCAAGTTATTACTAATGATTTTTGTGTACCTATAACGTTCACCTAAAATATACCGTAGCATAATTCTGTCTCTTATGGTTGTTTCCTCTTTTTTTTTTTGGTATTACTTTTTTTTTCACTTTTTTGTTTTAATATTTCTTTTAGTGATGGTGTGTCTGTGTTAATAGTCTGTCTGACATGCACTGTTCCGAGGAAATCAAAATACTTGTGTTTTTCTTATAAAAAGGTTCTGAAATCTTGCTTCTTGCATGACAGCCCATGAGACTCATGAGCTGGCAAAGAAACTCATCAGCAACGTTTGAACAACAAAAAAGACTTATACAAGGGCTGGAAAAGTCTGAACCTATACTTTTTTAAAAAACTTTTTTCTTTTTCAAAGCAGCAAAATTGAAAATAGTCTCTAATAAGTAGCATCTGAAAGTGAGAAATGGAAAAGTAATATTCTTCAGGAAGTGATCCAATTCAAAGTGATCAGAAAGGTCATTGTCACCTAGGCAATCAGAATGAATCACAATTGGAGCACATGGAAGAAATAAAATCATAATTTAAAAATAGTAGTTATATTTGAACAAATGTGTGTCTATAACTAAGACAATTTGTATTGCTGAAAAGGCAGCTTTTGTGTTTATGCTCATCTGCGTTAATGTTGTAGTAACACGTGTTTTAGACCATAGCCACAAAATATTTAATGTGTCGTGCCTTCATGATGTAACAGAGCATTCTCCTGGTAGGCTAGTTGGGGGAAAATAAAGGGTTAAATCTCTAATTATTGCTGTTTAACTGTTTGTTATCATAGTTGGTCAATGCCTGGCAGGTACCAGCATCATGTCACTTCAGTGAAACCCAAAGAGTGACTCCTAATGTTAATAAGATCTCAGTTGCACGTACAAACAAATTCAAATTTGAACATTCTTAGGAGGTTTTTGTTAAGGCATGACAGATGATTTAAACAAATAAATAGCATGCAAAAAAAAGAAGTCCTTACTGAGAAAAGTGAAAGTTAACACCACAATTAAACATGAATTTTAAAGGTAATAAATAATAATAATAGTAATAAATAAAGTTTGCTAATCTGATAGTTAATTTGTTCTTACCAAAAAGTTATTTTGTATATAGCAATTCACTTTTTTTTCACATTATAATGGTATAAAATGGGTTGGGGGTGCATTGCTTATTGCAGTACTTATGTCAGTTTGTGAAGGGTGTTTGATGACTTTGACGGAATAAATATCTAAACAGTTATCCTTGTTACTGCTTTGCCAGTTCAACGTTATTTACAGTTATTCAGCTCTTGCAATAAATGTTCTGAATTCCCGATTGTGTTGTGTTATTTCTTTGTGAAAATGAATTCTCTTCTCTCTTTCATGTGAATTTATGTTTATAAAGTTACATTTTTAAACTGCAACTCACATGATTTGCAGTCAGAGGGAGGGAATAAAAAACTAATAATGTCACAATTTTGCCTGAGGGATTTTTTTTTCATTGTTTACAAGGATCTTTTACTAAGGAAGTCAGAGAACACTAACCTTAGGTTCTGCTAGTTACTAATTTGGTGTAAGAATTATGTATCAACTTTTGAAAGTTTCACATGTGAAATTAATGTAATCCAGACTAAATAAGTAGGTGGTAGTGACCACATCAAAAGACCTGGGGATCAAGGCCAAATCAAGAAAGCTCTGTGGACTGAAATACATGTCCATAGCTGGTCCATGGAGGAGGACACTGAAAAGGGGGTAGAAACTTCCTCACTCCTTGGTCCAGGAAAAACATAGTATAAAAATTTGGGTCAAGGGTCGGCCAAACTGACAATTCCATTTCCATGTTTTTCCTGTAGGTAACTAGATGATTGTTCATTGATAGTCATAGAACAGAATCATTGAATTGTATGCCTGGAAGTGGACCTTAGAAACCAGTCAGTCCACAGGTCTCATTTTGCAGGTAAAATAAAAAAATAAAAATAATAATAATAAATAAATAAATGAAGCCCAGAGACTAAACTGACATTCCCAAGAATACATTGCTAGTTAACAGGGCAAAGCCAGGTCTTCTGAACATTTCTAATAGTCATGATACTTTAAGTTATTTGATTAATAGTTATTAAATGATTACTATGTTTAGAGAAATATATTATATATAAAGATATATGACATAGTTCCAGCTCTCAAGGATCTTATTGAATTTACCCATCAGTTAAATAAAACACCTGCTCAATGTGGTAATTATGATTTGACTTTTTTTTTTCAAGAAACTGATTAACTTTTTGTGTCATATGAAGGGTTTAGGGCCAAATCCTGGATTTGCTATTCCTGTGACCCTGCTCAAGCCCTCTGATGTCTCTGGGCCTCAGTTTCCTCATCTAAAGAATGATGCAACATATTAAATGATCTCCAAGGTACTTTTCAGTTTTCATTCCCATTAACTTATTAGTAACAATGATTTTAAGGTATAGTTGAGTGGGAAGTTAATGCACACACATCTGTGTTTTCCAAGGTATACACAAGGTACTCACAGACTTCCAAAGTTTTAATATATATATATGTATATATATACATCTGTGTGATTATACTTATCTATACTTATATAACTGCATTATATTATATTAAACTAAGGATAATGCATATATGTAAATAGATATGTAATTAGTAATCACAAATTTAGAGATAATTTGTGAGATTGATCCCTCCCCTAGTCCTGATCCAAATATATATCTATAGACATCTATAGATATATATCTGTAGATATTTATAGATATATATTTTCAGTAATCAGATAACCTCTTCCTTGTACTTGTAGAGCCAAGGCTAAAAACGCAGCTGAAGACCAGAGAACATTTCAGCATTTGTTGAACTCTCAGGGATGGGAGCCAGGAATAATTATTATTAGTAAGAAGGTTTGGCAGAGAGGCATGAAAGGGATGCCTTGTCTGCCTTGATTCCAACATGTAGGCTAAAAGCTGACACCATAGGACTACAAATTAAACTGATATGAAAAGGGGGGGAGTATTTTTTAATTTTTTTATAATGGCTCTAGGGCTATTATTTTCATTATTATTTTATGATTTCCTTAAAAAAAAACTAGCTTACTTTCCCTAAGAAATCTGCTTAGTTGCTTAGCATCTATTTTAAACTTTAAATTTATTTCTTGTTAGAAATACAATTATCCCATGATCTATACTCTATAATCTACACATTTTTTTAAAAAAACAAATATAATAAATAAAAACTAGATACCATAATAGATGAAAATATAATAGAGGGTTAAAAATAATAGGCACATTCATGAAATAATGCAGTGTTACAAAATGGAAATAATAGATACAGATCCAGGTTTTATGACATACTGCCTTGTGAAATTGGTCGAGTCAACCTCTTTGGGCCTTAGTTTTCCAATTTGTAAAATAAAGAGGTTGGACTGTATAATCTTTGAGGTCCATTCTAGCTTTATTAATTTATTTCTTTTAGTTTTCCACATTCACATCCACAAGATTTTGAGTTCCAAATTTTCTCCCCATCTCATCCCTCCCCCAACCCCAAGACAGTGTGCATTCTGAATACCCCTTCCCTTAATCTGCCCTCCCTTCTATCTCCACCCTTTCTCTTATCCCCTTCCCCTTCTATTTTCCTGTAGAGCAGGAAATATACCCCACTGCCTGTATATCTCATTTCCTAGTTGCATGTGAAAACAATATATTTTTTTAAAGCTTTGGGTTCCAAATTTTCTCCCTCCCTCTCCACCCACCCTCAGTGAGAAGGTAAGCAACTGATATAGGTTATACATGCGTAGTCATGCAAAACACATCCATAGTGGTCATGTTGTGAAAAACTGTTTCACTTCTTACTATCCTGCTCCCTCCTCCCCCACCCCATTTATATTCTATTCTCTCTTTTGACCCTGCCCCTCCTCAAAAGTGTTTTCTTCTGATTACCCCTTCCCCAATCTGCCCTCTCCTCTACTATTCCCCTGACCTCTTATCTTACCCCTTCCCCCCTAGTTTCCTGTAGGGTAAGATAGATTTCCCCATCCAACTGAGTGTGTATGTTATTCTCTCCTTAAGCCAAATCCTATGAGAATAAGATGCACTCATTCCCTCTCACCTTCCCCTACTTCTGCTTCACTGTAAAAGCCTTTTCTTGTCTCTTTTATGTGAGATAATTTACCCCATTCTATCTCTCCCTTTCTCCTTATCCCAGTATAATCCTCTCTCACCCCTTAATTTTATTCTCCAGATATCACCCCTTCATCTTCAACTCACCCTGTGCTCACTTGTTTGCGCTCTGTGTGTGTGTGTGTGTGTGTATTTTTTTCCCTCCAACTACCCTAATACTGACAAAGGTCTCAAAAGTTACCAATATCATCTTTCCATGCAGGAATGTAAACAGTTCAACCTTAATAAGTCCCTCATGATTTCTCTTTCCTGTTTACCTATTCATGGTTCTTTTAAGTCTTATATTTGAAAGTCAGATTTTCTATTCAGCTCTGGTCTTTTCATCAATGCTTGAAAGTCCCCTATTTAACTGAATTTCCATTTTTTTCCCCTGAAGGATTATACTCAGTTTTGCTGGGTAGGTGATTCTTGGCTGTAATCCTATCTCCTTCGCCCTCTGGAATATCATATTCCAAGCCCCCTGTTCCCTTAATGTAGAATCTGCTAAATCTTGTGTTATCCTGATTGTGTTTCCACAATACTTGAATTGTTTCTTTCTGGCTGCTTGCAGTATTTTCTCCTTGACCTGGGAACTCTGGAATTTGGCTGCAATATTCCTAGGAGTTTACCTTTGGGGATCTCTTTCAGGAGGAGATTGGTGGATTCTTTCAGTTTCTATTTTGACCTCTGGTTCTAAAATATCAGAAGCAATTTTCCTTCATAATTTCTTGAAAGATGATGTCTAGTCTTTTTCTTTGATCATGGCTTTCAGATAGTCCAATAATTTTTAAATTATCTCTCCTGGATCTATTTTTCAGGTCAGTTGTTTTTCCAGTGGGATATTTCACATTGTTTTCTAATTTTTTATTCTTTTGGATTTGTTTTACAGTCTTGATTTCTCATAAAGTCACTAGCTTCCAATTGTTCTATTCTAATTTTTAAGGAAGTATTTTCTTCAGTGAGCTTTTGGACTTCCTTTTCCATTTGGTCATTTTTGCTTTTTAAGGCATTCTTCTCATTGGTTTTTTGGACTTCTTTTGCCATTTGGGTTAGTTTATTTTTTAAGGTGCTATTTTTTGTTCAGTATATTTTTGGGTCTCCTTGAGTAAGCTGTTGACTTGTTTTTCATGATTTTCTTGCATCACTCTCATTTCTCTTCCTAGTTTTTCCTCTACTTCTCTTACTTGCTTCTCAAAATCCTTTTTGGGCTCTTCCATGGCCTAGGACTGATTCATATTTTTCTTGGAGACTTTGGATGTAGGAACTTTAACCCTTGTTGTCTTCTTCTGGTTGTATGTTTTGATCTTCTTTGTTACCAAAGGAAGGTTCTATGGTCTGTTTTTTTGCACAGTTTGCTCATGTTCCCAGCCAATTACTTGAGTTTTAAACTCTTTGTTAAGGTAGGGGTCTGCTTCTAGTGTGGCGATAGTACTGTCCAAAGCTTTGGGGATTTTGTGCAGCTGTTTTCAGAGATACTTCTGGGGACCTGTAAATTTTCAGTTCTTCCAAAGTGGTACAATCAGGGGCAAAGTGTTTACTCCTTTTCTGGCCTGTGCTCTGGATATGAGTGAGCACAAGCATTTTTTCTGCTTTGGAACTGTGAGGAGGATTCCCTCTGCATTGCCACTATAAGCTCCACCACTCCAGTGCTTTTCCTTGCCCCAGTACTGCCACCCAGAACTATGACCCAGATTTAAGCAAAGGCAAAGCAAGAGATTCCTGCCTCAGCACCAAAGAGATACCTGCAATCCCTCTTTGATAAGCCACTTGATTTCCCCTCTGTCTGCGGACCAAGAGCTCCAGAAGCAGCCACCACCCCAGAGCTGCTCTGGAACTGGGGCTGGAACCAAGCTTCTCTCTCACCACAGTCACAGACCTTTCCTACTGACCTTCTAAATTGTCTTTGGTGTTTGTGGATTGAGAAGTCTGGAAACTCCCACAGATGCCCTATGATTCAGTCCCCTGAGGCTTGTTCCAGGTTCACTGAGGCCTGGTCTTTGCCTGGGATACCCAGGCTGAACTGTGCTCCTCTCCAGCATGGTGCAATAGACCTTTCCAATCAACTATCCAGGTTGTCTTGGGCTGGAAATTTGTTTCACTCTGTCTTTTTTTTGGGGGGTTGCTGCTCTAGAATTTGTTTAGAGCCATTTTTACAGGTATTTGGAGGGGTTTGG